TCTGAATGAATAAATGACTATCTGCCTGGCTTGTTACAATTTCTTTTGTACACATCTCTGATCATGTGTTTTCCTTGCTGAAAACTCAGGGACCCCCACGGCTATTTTATCACCCCTGCCTTTTTTTCCATTCTCATCTCCTACCGCTCTCGTACTTGAATTTTTATTACTGCATTTATTACTTTATTAGAATTGTTTGCTTAAGTGTCTGCCTTCTTTCCTAGACTGTGAGTAGGATCTGTGTCATATATCTCCGACTCTAGAGCTAGCATGCAGCCTAAAGCAATAATAGATGATCAATAAATGTTTAAGTAAATCACTCCTTCCCTTTGCATTTCAAGTCTTTCACTTCTAATTTATTCACAGTGGGAAAAGTAACAGAGTGGTAAGTTTTTAGATTTAGAAGGCATCTTACAGTCATCTAATCAATTTCCCTCATTTTATAAATGTGGAAACCCAGGCCTGTTCAGGATCACACAATTTGTTGGTCTTTGTTCTAAAAGAATCAGACAATTATAGGAAAGAAATTCCTCCAACTGAGGCTGAGCTATTTTGTTGTTCATTGTGTTCAGAAGCCTCAAGTTCCCAGAAACAAATATGCATTCCCTTATCAGTCTTTGAAATTTCATAATCTTGTGTTCCACACCCTATGCCGTCAGGGTTGATAACATTGATTGTAGGAAAAACTGGGCTAATCTGGAAATTTTTATTCTTAATACTGTGTATTGCTCCCACTGGTGCACACTTATACTGCTTTAGAAGAATTCATCTTGTTAAGTCTGACCTGAAAACTGCCACTTCTCTGGAAGAGGGGGAAAGGCAAAAAATTAATCAAAATCTGAATTAAAGGTCTAAAAGTCCCTCTCCCTCAGTGTAAATTCAGACCCACAGTTCCACAGCCACTTCTCTTTTCCTGTAGTAGTTCCTCTATTCATGAATCAAACATTTTTCCTTCTTTTGTGCACAGGAATGCTTACCTAACAGCTACATTATCTAGTAAATGGAAATGTATGTTTCATTAAAGGGAAAGATATTGTGATCTGGTTCAGCAGAATAATTAAAGTTAAGAGATCTTATCAGGAAAGTGGTAAGTGCAAGACACAAGAATTATAATAAAAAGGGTTGCAGCTCTATGTCTGAATGTTCAGTGTTCGGCTTGGTTGCCCATTTTTCTGTAATTTAGTACCATTGAGTTTTAGAGTTCAGTAGATATTGGCAATTTATCAAATATGAAATATGAAAGCTTGAAGAACATGTGCTTTAGGCAAATGGAAAAAATAGAAATGCAAATTTTGCTTTTCTTTAACTTTCTCAAAAAGATACTTTAAATCTAATTTAAAATCTAAATTTAATTTTTGGGAGAAGCAATCTATTAGAATAATATCAAGTAAAGAGAAGAAGGAGCACGTTGTAAGAGCGCCCGGATAGCTCAGTCGGTAGAGCATCAGACTTTTAATCTGAGGGTCCAGGGTTCAAGTCCCTGTTCGGGCGTCTCGTTTTCATACTAAACGTGATACGAGAGTGCCGGTGCTAAAGTGCATTTGTATTTTAAGCCGAATTTACTCCGTTTTTCATCGATTTCAGAGTATGATACATAAACGTACGCGGGGGAGCAACGGCTGCGGAATTGCTTAATTTCTTGGTCAGTATGTCGGCTTGACACAGTGGTTTCCTAGCGAAAAGGAATTTGTATTTTCAGATTGATAATGGAGGAAGATAAAAAAAAGCTAACAAAAACGAAAGTTAAAGCAACGCGCCTCTCAAAACTAGAGAGAAAAATGCAAAAATAAGAAGTAAAAGCGGTATCGCGCCCGAACAGGGACTTGAACCCTGGACCCTCAGATTAAAAGTCTGATGCTCTACCGACTGAGCTATCCGGGCGCTCACGTGGGAGCGGGGCTGCTGCGATCCCTTACATAAAAGGAAGGGCTCTCGCTCCAGCCGTTCCTCCCGCCTGCATTTGGCAACATTGTTTTAAACCCAAGAAAGCTCCGGATTCGTGCACCAAAGGCAAGCCCGAGACCTAAATCGCGCGCCTTCCGCCAGCGTGACCGGCTCATTGGGAGCTGCGAGATGTTTGCACGCACAATAACCCTTGTTAGGAAAGGCGGGCTGCTTCGATTTGTGACCTCTCAATAGTCCAGGGTTCAGGAAGCGGCCAGGGGGCCTCCTTTGAGGCGTCGCGGTGACGTCCGGTCTGTCACACTATCGATAGCAGGGCGGATATCAGATCTGAAGGCTTCTGGACAACAGGCAGAAACAAAAAGGCGAAGAGCACAAACCTGCTGTTCTGAAGCTGGGGGTCGAACTGTAGTTTAAAGGCGGAGAGAGGACACTGCAGAGTGGCAGTGAGATGGTGCTCTAAGTAATTGAAAGCGAAGAAAACCTTGCAAGAGGTCAGCCGCTGTGACCTTGGGGGCAGGACCCCTATTAAGCCTGAGGGACCGGAGAGCCCAACGTGCCAACAGAGAGATTTGATCGATTTTAGCAGGAAGGCCGCTCCCGTGGGCAGCCACAGCCACCTGAGCACTGCCCTCTGCGACAGGCCGGCGCTGGAATTACCCGCCGTGGGGCTCAGAGTGGGGCATGAAGGGGCTTTTGATAGCTGTCCCTTAATTCGATCTGCTTACCCAACTGCTTGTGGAGCGATTGCTCTGGTCCAGCAATTCCAGTTTTAGGAATTTGTTGTCAAGAAAGAAATAATCAGGGATGTACAAAAAGACCTGATTATAGGAGAGATCGCCAAGGCATTTTAATTGGAAAAAATTGGATAAGACATAAATGGTTACACAAATTATGGCACAACCTTAATATAGAATGTTTTGCAGTCATTAAAAATCATGTTCTAGAAAAATACTACTTGGGAAAAATGCAAAATGTTGTTCAATTAGGAAATATTTCAATTTGTTTTTTTTTAAAAAGGTGCATTGAAAAACTGAAAGATTAAATACTTCTACATAAAGCCCGGGTGTTGAAATTAGGTGCCCGTTTGAATCTACTATCACTCTGTGATCGTGAGCAAGCTACTTCTCTGTGTTTCAGGATAATAGGATGATCGTGAGAATTATATAAATTGTTTAGAACAGGCCTGACTCAATAATAAGCAAGATAGCTATATAAATTGCTTAGAACAGTGCCTGACACATAATGATTGATACAGTTACATAAAAATTTACTGGCAAGGCATTTACAACAGCCACCATATGGAAGCAACCTAAGTGCCCATCAATAGATGATTGGATAAAGATGTGGTATATATAAATAATGGAATATTCCTCAGCCATTAAAAAGAATGAAATCTTACCATCTTACCATTTTTAAGTACTTAGAGGGTATTATGCTAAGTGAAATAAGTCAGACAGAGGAAGACAAATACCATATGATTTGACTTATATGGAGAATCTAAAGAACAAAAAACCCTAACAAACAAAACAGACTCATAGATACAGAGAACAAACTGATGGTTGGCAGACAGAGTGGGGTTGGGAGCTGGGTGAAAAAGGTGAGGGGATTATGAAGTACAAATTGGTACTTACAAAAGTCCTGGGGGTATAAAATATAGTGTAGGGGATATAGTCAATATTGTAATAAATATATATGGATACTAGATTTATTGGGGAGATAACTTAGTAAGTTATATAAATGTCTAACCACTATGCTGTACAATTGAAACTAATACAAAATAATATTGAATGTCAGTTGTACTTGACAAATTAAAAAAAAAAGGTGCAATGAAGAAAAAAAAAGACAACGGCAAGGGTAACAGGAACAGACTCGTGGCTTCTGCTGTTTCTGTTATTCTCCGACACTATCTACCCAGCAACAAACGCTTAATGTGTTTTTTCAAATTAGTTATTTTTATTGGGGTATAACTGACATATAGCATTATATTAGTTTCAGGTGCACAAAATAATGATTCAATATTTGTATATATTGTAAAATGATCATCACAATCAGTCTAGTTAACATGTCACCAGTTATTTTTTTCCTTTGAGAACATTTAAGATCTCTCAGAAATTTTCAAGTATGCAATACAGTATTATTACCTATTGCCACCATTCTGTACATAAGGCTTAGCTTATTTGACTGGAATAGAGGGAGATGTAGAGAATTTAGAACGCTGGCAATATTGGGTTAATTCTGGGCAAAAGAAATGACTTTATCCCTAGATTTGTTCCATTCACATTACATTGAAAACCATAACAAGGACTGCCATATTAAATTTTCTCTATAAGAATCATCACCAGAGCTAATCACTTATCCAGAGCTAAGGGTAGAGTGGTTCCTAAAATTGGCTGTGTGCAGATGGGATACTGAGTCATCAAATTGGAATATTAGACTGCCTTTTCTTTGCTCAAAACCTTTTGATTCTTCCCTATTATTTATTGAATAACATGTGGAACTTTGTATAGCAGCATTAAAAATCCTGTCCAATCTGGCCCCAGCCTACTTTGCCAGCATTCCATACCAGTGCCATTTAATAGAAATACAACGCGTAATTAAGATTTTTCTAATAGCCACATTAAAAAAAGTAAAAGAAACAGGTGAAATTAATTTTATTCAGCCCAATATATCCAAAATATTATCATTTTGATGTGTAATCAATATAAAACATTATTAATAAGATATTTTGCTTTATTTTTTCCTACAAGTCTTTCAATCTGATGTGCATTTTACACTTACAACACATCTCAGTTTGGACCACCACCTTTCAAGCCACATGTAGCTGATGGTTATTGCATCGGGGAGTGTGATTTGACATAATGTCAGTCCTCTACACAACATCCAACACTTGAATCAAAGCAGATTCTTCTCAGTTTTAGGACCGAGTCTTCTAACTCCTCAACCCTCTCCTCTCCTTACTTATGCCATGTTTCTTCAAACAACATCTCTGCCTCCTGAAATCCGATTTATTTTTTAAGGCCCAACTCAAATGATACCTCTTCTACAAAACCTTCAATGATTACGTTGGATAGGAAGGAGAGATTAATTCAAGGGACTATAGATTCACGTCCAATTTATAGATTCAGTAATAAAGCCATACATTTATCATTCACACTGAAAAATAAAATTGGATCTCTGTTACGACATGCACAAAATGTCAGTTCCAAATGAATGAAAGAACTAAATGTGAAAAGCAAGTGTTTAGAATTTACTCGGTTGAATTTTGTTATTTAACAAATAGCAAAGTAAAATCTTAGGAAATCAAAAGTTATAGGCAGATTTTTGACTGCGCGGGCTCAGGGCCCCTAACCCTCTGGTGTTGTTGAAGGGTCAATTGTAGTCGAAGCCTCTAAGGGAATTTTTTGCCTGCAGAAAAACAAAGGAGAGAGTTAGAGATGGGACATGGTAGCTGTCTACAAATGACTGAATACTATTCACATCGGAAAGAATGAAGCCTTACTCTTCTCCAAAGTACAGAGCTGAAACAAATAGAAATTGCAAAGTAACATATTTCAGCTAAGAAAATCCTCTAACATTTAGAATCATCCTGAAATAAAATGAGGTATTTGGAGGATGGTAATGCCACTTGGCAGCCGTGGAGGTTGAAGTCAGCCAGCCTGAGCGTTTTTTGTTTTTTTGAGAGGTTTGTTGGAGCCGCTTTTACATTGGGAGATTAGATACGACCTGGTTGTGTGATCCAGATAAGCTCCATCTTATTGTTCTTTGCACCTATCTTTTAGCATTTAGCACATATCTCGCAGTGATTCCAGTGTATGCTAGTCTTATCTCCCCCACTTAGCGACAACACTGGGGCGCTGTTTCCTTTCTTCGGCCTCCTCCGGGGGTTAAGAGTAACCCTCCCTCCCTTCCCTGAACTGCTGCAAGGCACGGTTTTCCCAGCCGTACAGCCAATGGGGAGATCTCCCAAGCAGCCAGCGAACACACCGGCTGGGCTTCTTCACGGCCTGTGGAGAAGCAGGACTCCACCTGCTACCGCCTTGCATTACCTCCCATTCTCCCGCCTTGCTTTTCTTTTCTCACTCTCAGTGCCTTGGGTTTACGCCATCCAAAAAAACATTGGTACTTAAAAAAAAAAAGTATGAGTAACACTGAGAAACGGAGGGCGTGGCATTTTTGTCAAGAGCTGAAGGTTGCCTCTGACGACGCTCTTAGGTTTCCCCCACCGGTTCTCCGACCTCCTAGGCCACGTCTGCAAGTATCACAAGACCTCTCGATTTCCGGAAACGTTCGCTCTAGAGACCTCGTACACTCCGTAGTCCAGGCCTGGCGCCTCTGTCTTCCGGAAGGGGATCTACTCTATGGTAGGGAGAGCCCATCCTCTCTAGCTCTCCAGCTTCCAGGTGACCATCTATGGTTTGGAGCCTCACCGGAAGCTGGCGCGTGAGGTCGAGGCGGGAAGCCGGAAATTGCGCTCTCTTTGCTCGCCGTTTCAAATCTCCGCTGAGGCCCGGGACCTTTGACTGACGTCCTCTCCCCTCGGGCTCGGCGTGGAGCGACTCGCCCAGCGGCCGTAAGGTGTGGTTCTGGGGTTTCGCCGGCGCGGCGCGGGAGGCCGGGTGGGGGAGCGGGAGCGGGAGCGGGCGGCGGCGCGGGCAAGGAGAAGCGGGCCCCGGGCCCGGGAGCGGGCTGCGTGGGTGGCGGCCTCGGGACAGTCGCGCCTGGCGGAGACAGGGCTGGTGGGAAAGCGTGAGACGAGGACCGCGGGAGATGAAAATGGAGGTGCAGTGACTTGATGGGGTTCAGCTGACAGTTACAAACCGAACGAAATAGTCCGGTTGGCGATGTTTAACTGGACGCAGAATTCGAGGGACACTGAGGCACTTCGGAGAAGAGGTGGGAGGGAGGGAGGCGCGGAGGAGGCCTAGGAGGTCTGTCAAGATTTTAAAGTAGTAATTGACGGGGCTGCGGGTCGTGTGCCTCAGGCATGTGGCGCTTGTTTGAAGTATGCTCATTTTGGGGCCACATCCAGACCTCCCAAACTGTATCAGGAGATGGGGCCCGGGAATACGTATTTTAATCAGCACAGCCCTTCAGTGATTCCTGTAAACCCTAAAGTTTGAAAACCACTCTTTTAAAGCGATGCCCGAAGAAAATACTCTTTCCCCCTCGTCTGTACTGGGCAGGATCACAACTTTTTATAGCCTTAAAATGATAAATAGTGTGTGCCTGTCAAAAAAACCCCCCACAAAAACAAACCGCACCATACAGAAGTGTATGAAGTTAATCCATCATCCCTAACCGGTTTCCTCCTCAGGCTGGCTACTGTTAACTGCCTGCTGTTATATCCTTCCTGACTTTTCTGCACATATTCACATATTTAAACAACAGCGGGATCATTTTGTATGTATTGTTCTGCTCCTTAAGGTTTTCAAATAGTATCAGGGACAACTTTACATAAAATACACATGGAATACTTACTTTTTTTTAAAGATCGCGTATTATTGCCCCGGCCGGTGTGGTTCAGTGGTCGATCAACGACCCAATTCCTGTCCGGGCACATCCCCGGGTTTTCCGGCTCGATCCCCAGTAGGGGGCGTGCGGGAGAACCTGATGATTCTCTCTCATCATTGACGTTACTATCTCCCTCTCCCTTCCTCTCTCCGAAATCAGTAAAAATGTATTTTAAAAAAAGATTACAGGGTTGTACAACAGTTTCTTTAAACAATTGTCCATTGATGGATTTTTAGGTTGTTTCCTGGCATGTTGTTGGTTTTGCAAACTGCAGGAGTATCCTCTTGCGCACACTTTATCTTTGTACATGTGTAACAGACCTAGTAAGAACTAAGAAGTTGGAATAGTTGCTGTTTTTTTCCCAAGAAAAAATGTATTTTTATTAACTTGTTAAAAAACAAAATTCAGCCAAATAAACTTGAAGATCTAATTGGTTTTAATTCATGAATTGGGCAACATCCCATCTAGCAACTAAAAGGGAGCTCGAGGGGTTGTACAAAATGGAAAGTTTTTATAAGAAGAAGGGTGGAGTAAGAGAAAGGAAGGGTTCGTTTTTAAATTAATTTTATCATTTACAGCTGACATACAGGAAAGATTAGTTTTGAGCTATGACACCTTTTGGAGAAGAGAAGAAAAGGGAAGAGTTTTTATCACAAAGATTTCCTCTTATTTATTTTTATTTATTTATTTAAAAAAATATATCTTTATTGATTTCAGAGAGAGGAAAGGAGATGGAGAGAGAGATAGAAACATCAATGATGAGAGAGTCATTGATCAAGCCCACAACCGGGGCATGTGCCCTGACTGGGAATTGAACCCCGGTGGCCTGGATCCTAGGTCCAAGCTCAACTGCTGAGCCACGCCTGGCTGGGCTCCTCTTTTTTTTTAAAATCCTCACCTGAGGGTATGCTTTTATTGATTTTAGAGAGAGAGGAAGTTGGGGGGAGAGAAAGAGAAACATCCATTGGTTGCCTCTCCTTAGGGGCCCTCACAGGATTGCAAAACCTAGGTATGTGCCCTGACTGGTATTCTAACCTGAAACCTTTTGGTGTAGGGGTCCACTCTCCAACTAGCTGAGCCACCTGGCCAGGGCCAGATTGCCTCTTTCTATATGGGGATGGAGAGTGTCCACATTGACTACCTTACCAGTATTCCATTAGAAAATTTGAGTGGTTTAACACTCGTATTTAGGTGGAAGAATCCAGACAATAGTGTTTAATAGAGGTCCCAAGGGCTTTAAAGAATTGAGAATGATTAGTTTTGCTAACTTCTGACAAGTTTTTACTTTAATTATTCTTAAAGTCACAGTTGTCTTCAGAGGTGGAGATTTTTTAAAAATGTATTGAATTCATTGGGGTGACATTGGTTAAAGGTATAATTGGTTAAAGGTAAATTTTGAAGGTGAGATGTAGGAGTCTTTTGAACAAAGTGTAGGGTAAAAAGGGATTGTTCCTGTTCTCTCTGACTTCAATTTAATAGGGGACACACATAAAAACATAAATATAATGTGATAAGTGTTTTAATAGATTTGCTCTTGACCAAGGAAGTGAATTTTGACTTAGGTAGAAGAATGAGTGAGAATTTTCGAGAACAGAAAACAGAGCATAGAGGAGGAGAAAGGGCCAGTGCTAAGGCCATGGCTTTCAAACTTCTTAAACCATGACCCCCCACTAAAAAATATATTTTATATTGTGACCCTATTGTACACATAGAAAGGGTAATGGTTAAGAGCTCTGGCTCTGCAGCCCATGATTTCAGGCAAGTTATCTTCCTCTTCTGCCTCAGTTCCTATTCTGAAAATGAGGACAATACTATACCTCTTAGGATCTCTGTAGGGGTTAAATAACTTAGTGTATATAAAAGTGCTTAAAAAAGTGCCTGACACAAAGGTGCTTGGCTGTTAAGTGTTGGCTATTTTCAGTAACAGAAACAGGTTCCACAGGACAAAACTAACTTTTGTTATTCACTTTAATTTTCTATGTGATTTCCTTAATGGAGTGGAGGAGTTAAGACCAGTAGGGTGGGTACAACTTGTAGCTTGCAAATACTCAGTACTAAAAACCGAGAGGTGAGTGAGATAAGAGCTAGAAAACTTCAAGAAACTGAATTCATCGTTCATCATGGTGGATGCTGAGTGGTGGAAGCGAAGACTTGGAGAAGAGGGCCAAGATGAAATGAAGAATAAATTGGAGACATAATAAAAGCTTATGCACCCATCCCCTTGTGTTCCCCAGTGAGGCGAGGGAGTTTTTGAAAATGGGAGTGCACACTGCCTTAGCTCTACAGGCCCATGTGAGATAATCCTACACTCTTCAAATGCCCTGAAAATCCAAGGCGTTTTGGCCTGCCCTCTGTTATTTTGAGTTCTGCTGTATTGTGGAATGATGAGGGAGAATTCTTTTGAAAGCAAGTGAACAAAACTGCAAAAAGAACTTTCTTCCCTCATTCATTTTTTTTTTTTTCCCTTTTGCAACTGGTTTATTTTATTTTGTTTTATTTTTTATTTTTATTTTATAATTTTTATTTTTGTTTAAAGTATTACAGATGTCCCTTATTCTCCCCAATGACCCGTTCCTCCCTGTACCCTTTGGGACAGTATGGATAGTCCTGGAGAATATTATGCTAAGTGAAATAAGCCAGGCAGCGAAAGAAAAATATCACATGATCTCGCTTGTACGTGGAATTCCCTCGTTCATTTAAAAGCAGTCATATTTTGTCCTGACTGGTGGGTGTGGCTGGGTTGGTTGGAGCTTTGCCCAGGCACCAAAAAACCGGGGTGTTCGATCCCTGGTCTGGGCTGGTGCAGCCAATCAATGTTTCTCTCTCACATTGACGTTTCTCTTTCTCTCTTCCTCTCTAAAATTAATTTTTTAAAGTAAAAAAAGGCTTATTCTTTTCATCTTTTTATACTCCTGGGGTTTATTATTATTATTTTTAAAAATAGGACAATGAATGCTTTTTAAAAAATATATCTTTATTAATTTCAGAGAGAGGAAAGGAGAGGGAGAGAGAGATAGAAACATCAATGATGAGAGAGTCATTGATCAAGCCCACAACCGGGCATGTGCCCTGACGGGGAATCGAACCCCAATCGCCTGGATCCTAGGTCGACGCTCAACCGTTGAGCCACGCCCAGCCAGGCGTGGGGTTTATTATTAACTGGAAAGAGACACATCCCCAGAGAGCCAAAGCAGTACAGGTTAGTGGTATTGATTCTTTTAATGTAAAGAATATTTTCTAAGAGTACTAGTTTTTTTTCAAGATACAGTGGATAAACACAGAATTTTTGTGATTTCTTTCACATTTGGTGTGTACCATTCAATAAGGTAACTTATTTAAAACAATAAAAACCTATTGTTAAGCAAATCACAGGTGTCTTATTTTACCTTTAAATATATCTGGTATGTGCCCTGACTGGGAATTGAACCCGCCACCTTTCGGTGTATGTGGGAAGACACTCCAGCCAACTGAGTATGGCCAGGGCAGCTTATTGCATTAAAAAGAATGAAGAAAAAGTGGACCAGGTTTGGATGAACAACAAGAGTCTGCCTTGAAGAAAAGGATTGTGGTTAATTCTGTGCACTTGAGGTCTAAAGGGAAAATATACTGCTAGTGGGGACTTGAGAGCTCTTCTGAGTTTGAAAATCTTGATTCTAGCAATTTATTAATTGTGTGGTCTTGGGCAAATAATATCCTTATGCTTCTCCTGCCTTATGTATAAAATAAAGATGTTACCTACATTGTAGGATTATTTTAATATTAAATGGGTTAACATGTACCTAGTACAAACTCTCTGTCTTTGCCATTTGTTTCGATTATTTAATGCTATGTAATAAACCACCCAACAATATAGTGAATTAAAGCAACAGCTATTTTATTTATTTATTGTGATTCTGTGGGCTGAGTGGCGTGGTTTTTCCGGTGGTTTCATTTGTGGTCTGTCATTTAACTGTAGACAGGTGTCAGCTGGAGCTGAAATGACTGAAGATATGTGTTGCTTTTTGAGGGTATGTATGCCTGGAAGGCTGGGGCTCATATGGACAAATGAGCCTCTCCACATATTCTTTTTTTTAAAAAAAAAATTTGTGAAATGTATTGGGGTGATATCCACATGGTCCTTTGGGGTCTCCAGTAGAGTACCCAGATTTTAGGGGCTTCCAAAAGCATAAAAATGAAGCTGCCAGGCCTGGAATTGGGACATTATCTTTCTGTTATGACTAGAAAAAAAATTCTGAGATGTTCTGAATTAAAAATTACAGTTGCTGCCCTTGCCGGTTTGGTTCAGTGGTTAGAGCGTTGGCTCGCGGACTGAAGGGTCTCGGTTTGATTCCGGTCCAGGGCATGTGCCTAAGTTGCAGGCTCGATCCACAGCCCTGGTCAGGGAAGTCTATGGGAGGCAACCAGTTGATGTCTCTCTCACATCAATGTTTCTTCCTCTCTCTCTCCCCTTCACCCCTCCTTTCCACTCTCTCTAAGAAAAATCAATGGAAAAAATATCCTTGGGTGAGGATTAACCCAAAAACAAAATAAATAAAAAATAAAAATTACAGCTGCAGGAGAATGAGAGAGAACAGTTAGCAGCTGTGGACCATCTCTCACAAAAGACTGCTCACATTCCTGTATGTCTGTTGGAATTTAGGATTAATTTCTAGGTGCTATTTTTGCAGTTATCCAAAGGAGAATAGCCAGACACCATAGAACCCCAGGAGCCTCTGCTTTTTATTTAGCATGTGAACGTGAACTTTCCAGTCCGCTGCCCACAGCTAATCCATAGGAGCTGACACTTCTTTCTTGCCGACTCTGTGCCTATCCCAGAGCTGGCCCTGCTTCAGCTTCTCCCACCCTCCCTGTCTTTAGCTAAGGTAAATTCTTTCAGAATGATGTACATCTCTCTCCCCACCACTTGATGTATAAAAACATTCAGCGCCAGGATAGTAGACATGTCTTTTTACCTACCCATACTGCTGGTAGTTCAGGCTTCATGCTCCAGGACCTGGTCTTTCTTGCTGTCAGTGGCCTAATCCTGTTTTTTACAAAGACTTTCCCCCTTGGAAGTTAAAACTTTTTGTTTAATAGTTATATTCTATTGATTAACTATGTCACAGAGCCAGTTAGAAGATTTAGTTCATTGGGGACCATTTTTGGAAATCATCCACACTATTATTATTTTGATATATCTATTGATTTCAGTTAAAGGAAGGGAAAGGGAGAGATAGAAACATCAATGATGAGAGAGCCATTGATAGGCTGTGTTCCCACACGCTCCCCCACTGGAGATTGAGCCCGAAACCTGGGAATGTTCCCTGACTGGGAACTGAACCGTGATCTCCTGGATCCTAGGTCTATGCTCAACTGCCAAGGCACTACGACAGCAGGGCTACACTATTATTAATATTTGTACCCATCATGTTGCTGTACCATATATGTAATTGTTATTTTAGGTACTGGGGATATGTTAATGAACAAATAAATACAAACCCCTCCCTACTTGTACCTTATATTTTACATGATAAATAATTAAAATGTGTAGTATGTTGGTTGGTAACAAGGACGGTGAAGAAAAAGCAGAGATAGGTAATACTGGGGGTTGGGAGTTGCAGTTTTAAAAGTGGGAACTGACATTTTTGAGCAAAGGCAAAAGGAGGTTAGGAGCTAGAGGGGCAAAGGTGGAATAGGAGAGGGACATGAGAACTATATAAATTAAGTCAAAGAATGTTAAGTCGGGCCAGCTATGTGCCGCATGACATGGAGATGGGAGCATACCACAAGGAGCCCCCAGAACAAAGAAAATTTCTGCAAAGATTAATACTTTTTTGTTTACCTGTACCATAAAAGGAAAACAGACCACAAAATATATCTTGTAAAGGTTCAAGTTAATCCCAGCGTTTTTTCCCCACTCTCTACTTCCCCGTACCAGTAATTATCCATAGAAACTACAAACAGGTAGGTGTAAGCTCAACTTCTAGAGACGATTGGGGTCCCTCTTCCTTCCCTTGTGAGGAGAGTCCACTACTCCGAAATGGCTTGTCTTGCTTATTCTCTTTGCTCAATAAACTTGTTTCAGTTTTAACCTCTTGTCTGACTCAGTCTTGAATTCTTTGAATTCTTTTCTTCATGAAGCCAAGAGCCTTCTTGGCTTGAGGCTCAAGTCTCCCCCGAGGGACTTACTCCTCCAGCATCAGAAGCAAGAAAACTTTTAAAAGGCTAATGCAGCCTGGCCGGACGTGGCTCAGCGCTTGAGCATCGACCTAGGATCCTAGGCGATCGGGGCTCAATTCCTGGTCAGGGCACATGCCTAGGTTGTGGGCTAGATCAATGATTCTCTCATCATTGATGTTTCTGTCTCTCACCCTCTCCTTTCCTCTCTCTGAAATCAATAAAGATATATTTAAAAAAAAAATAGGCTAATGCAGTTAGGAGATGAGTGGTTTGTATTAGTGTAGTTTGTATTAGGGGGAAGTGCTTAGATTTTGAATACATTTTGAAGAGACAGTTTCAGAATTTATCTATGGACTGGGTGTGAAGTGTGAGAGAAAAGGGAAATTACGAATGGCTCTAAGGTCATTGACCTGAGCTACTGAAGGATGGAGTTGCCATTTACTGAAATGAGCAAGACCTCAGAGCTAGCAGGCTTGGGGAGATCAGAATTGGTTTTGAAGGGGACTAAAGTTTTGGCTACCTAAAGCTGCCTTTTGGGATATTGATTTTAAACTGGTTATTAAGAAACAAGACTCAGAAAGAAACTTTGAACCCTCCCCCCTTTCCCGCCTGAGTTTCAGTTGGAAAAACTTGCCCCAGGAAAGAAATCTTAAACTATCCACTTTGGCCCAATCTGAATTGAGTGTGGTAGGTAGGAGGGTGTCAAGCTGGGGCTGGTTAACTAGACACCCCTTACAGCATCTCGTTGTTTCTTGGTTGCTTAGCAAAAATTTACATGCCATGTATGTTCTACTCTTCCTCATTTATCTGTAAATGGCCCATTCTCACTTTAAAAAAAAAGAATTTTTACTGATTTCAGAGAGAAGAAGGGAGAGGGAGAAAGAGAAACATCAGTGATGAGGGAGAGTCATTGATCTGCTGCCTTCTGCATGCCCCCTACTAGGTATTGAGCCGGCAATCCTGAGCATGTGTCCTGACCAGGAATTGAACCTGTGACCTGGTTCATAGGTTGACTCTCAACCACCGAGCCACACTGGCTGGGCAGCCCATTCTCACTTTTGAAACCTAAGATCCCATTTCCCCCTTTTCTCCTTTGTCTAAAATGTCATATATACCCAATTTGCCTCACTGTCTTTGGAATTTTCATGTTTATGTGAATTCCACATGCATATATATTTAAAATTTTGATTTTCTCCTGTTAATTTGATTATTAGCCCAGCTAGAAGAATTTAGAAGGTGGGAGGAAAGGTATTTTTTTTAGCCCTCAGTTTATAAGGTTTGAAATGTCAAAAGTCAGCTGTTTTAAAATGTAAGTTATGCTTGTATTCTATTAGACTTCTCTTTTTTGTGGCAAGGGAAGCTGATAGGAAGGAGGAATTTATACTTTGTAATAGTTTGTCTTCTCAGAAGAGTGAGGAATCTAGACTTGGTTTTTCTAGGCTCTTTTCACCCTTTCCCTGGTGTGGCTTGTTTATAAATCTCACTATGTCACCTTTTTACTAGAAAAAGGCCTCAAGTAAACTCAAGCAAGTTTAAAAAATTTATTTTCCTTTTCTACAGTCCTTTTTTTTTTTTTAAGGAGAAAAGGTAGAGATGAGAATTTTAAATTAAACCTTACTTTATTTCAATTCATGCTATATCTTTCCTTGATGATATATGTCCACCTTGGTTTAATCCAATTTGTAGGAATTTAGTTGCTATTGACCAGAGAAAACTTCTAATGGTCTAAATTAAATTATAGCTGCTTGAGAGTGAGAAAAAACAGGAATACTTAATCAGTTAATAGCTATGGGCCAATTAACAAAAGATTGTTTACATTCCTGAATATAACTTGGAGCTTTGATTCAACTCCCAGGCATCTGAATCCTGCATATGCATGAATTTTCTGGACTGTTGCCTTAACCAATCAAAAGTAGTAAATCTTTCTTTCTTACAGACTGTGCTTCTACCAAAGAACTGCCCATATTTCACCTTATTTCCTCCTACTTATTTCTAGAGAAAAAGCAAATATATGGTAAACAAATTCTTACTGGGCCACCCACAAACAGTGGGACTGAGGGGAACAGGCTTTGCTAGATTTCTTCCTGTCTGACACATTTCATTTATATGATACTAATGTTCCCTTCTTTTAAGCAGGTTTTTCTATCTGAATTCTTTTAGGCAGGTAAAAGGGAGAATGTCAAAGGTTTTTTCTGAGTATGTTTCTTAATAACCAGTTTAAACTCAGTATCCTAAAATGCATATTTTAGGGTGGCAAAACTTTGGTCTCCTCAGTCCCACCTCTGAAACTTTAAAAAGTTTCATATTCCAGAAGCTAAGTTGGTAGATTGCATAGATGGTTCTTACTCTTGATGAAGCTCTTCAGTTTTTTGCAGGATCTGAACTAGAAAGTGATCAGAAGGGTATCAAGACTTTCAGCATGGGTATATTGCAATTGTGTTCTGACGTGTCTTTTTTACTTCTGCTGGCTGCTTTTTTGTAAATCCTAGAGAGAATTTTCTACTTTAGAAGAGATTTTTAAAATTTTTTATCCTTTTAGATTTATCAACAGATTTAATTTCTTCACTGCCAAAATGGCATCACTTTCTACCTCTGCCCAGTGTTCGACATCTGACAGTGCTTGCAATAACTCTCCAAGACAAATCAAGCAGGTAAAGCATTTTTAGGCATTTCTGTTTCTAAGTTAAAAAAAAATTGAGTTGGGGGATATAGCTGACTTCACTGACTGTAGGATTTTACACAGAGCCAGAAGTATTTTTAAAAATGTCATATTAGGGGAGCTAGTAAACAGTATTAATAAAACACTTATAAATTTGAATTGATCATTGATTAAATAAATGTATGGAAATTACTGATTGCTTAGTGGTACATTTTGAAAACTTAGGGTGTTTTAGGGTACAGGTGGCTAGTGGGGAATTTGGGACCAAGTTATATAAGTTAGTTTTTTATCTCTCACTTTATTCTAATTAGTTTGTTTTCTTTAAAAATCAATTTTTAAATTGTAAATATAGCATATATATTCTTATAAAAGATTCAAAATTTATCTTTAAAGTATTTATAAAGACTTTTTTTACCCACCTCTTTCCCCAAAGTCTCTTTCCCCTAACAACACTGGTAATCAATTTGGTGTGTCTTGTTACAGATCTTTTCCTCTAACATATCAAAATAAGTAATTTTGTTTTGTGTTTTCATAAAAATTGTATACTACATAATATATAGCTGAATATATTTAAAAAGTGGAATTTGGATTTGGTGGGAAAATGTAGCTTATGTAATAAATGGTTTTGACATAATTGACCATCTCTGGAAAGAAACAAGACCTCAAACCTTATATAAAAACAAATTGCAGATAGGTACTTAAATGTAAAAAATGAAATGATTAAAAATATTGGAAGAAAATTGAAGAAATAGTTGTGAAAGTTTAGAATGAGGGAGGCCTCATGACAAAACTGGAGGCTGTAAGAGGAAGAGAAAGTCAGATTTGACTATATACAATTTAGAGAACAAAATTGTGTGGCTAAGGACAGACTCCACAATCAGTCAAGAGACAGCAACAAAGTCTCTTTATGCCTTGTTTATCCATTTATCTGCCAATGGTACTTGGGTTGTTCCCATCTTCTGGCTATTGTGAATACTGCTGCTATGAACACTGGTGTACAAATAGTTGCTTGAGTCCCTGCTTTCAGTCTTTTGGGTGTATACCTACGAGTGGAACTGCTGGGTAATTGCAAATTTTATGTTTAATTTTTTGAGGAACTGCCAAACTGTAGCTGCACCATTTCATGTTCCCTGCTAGCAGTGCACAAGGATTCCAATTACTCCACTTCCTCACCAACACTTATTTTCTTCTTTTTCTCTTATAGCCACTTATGTGATGTCTTTTGAAAGTGTGATTTTTCAGGAAGTACTCTGATCATTTGTAGTTATATTCATTGAAAGATTGTGCAATATTAGATAAGTATCAGTATTTAAAAGTTGAAGGAGATTCTCTTGTTCTTTGCAGTATCAGAAACCAATCTAATTGAAATGTAAATATCAAGTTTATGTTTATATCAGGTACGACCAAAACTGCCACTTCTGAAGATTTTGCAGGCAGCAGGTGCACAAGGTGAAATCTTCACTGTTAACCAGGTAAGCTGTCAAAGAAAATTCTGTTTTAAGAACACCTGAGAAGTAGAAGCTGATGAATTTGTAGTTCTGAACTCAGGCCTAAGAAGGGAAGTTCTCCTGAGGTACTAGAGAGGCCACTTTTGCTCTATTTTAAAGACCATGGAGCTAAGTTGAATTTCATATTTCCTTTAAATTTCCTTTTGAAGTTTGTTGTCAGCTAAACATAAGACTAACCATGAATTTATTGATCTGGGAGTTAAAATGCAAAACATGTTTAAGATTTAAAAAAATGACACTGTGATTTATAGGATATGCTACCAGGCAGGAATTAAATGCTGTAGTTTTGCATTATAAATGTGCCATATACTCTTGAACACTGTGAGTTATTTTAAACTTATGCATTTAAATAACTTATTTAGTTTCTAAAGTTTTTTTAAAAAAAACTAACTGAATTCTTTAAGTGGAAATGAGTCAGTATTAAAATGTTAATCTCTTTGAACTGGGCTTGCTTTTAAGTAAGGTAAACCTGTCCTAAACAGAAGAAACAAAATTATCAAGCTTTTTTTGAGTTTTCTTAAAAAGCTTAACACCTGTCTGCAATCCCCCACTCCTGAGCCATTAAAACTTTCAAGGAAACAAATCTGGAGGCATTTCAGATTTTCTAGAATACTCATATTCCCTTTGTCACTTTAAATTATATAAAGCCCATCATTTTGGACTATATCTCTAAAATTCTGATAAGTATGACTTTTTAAAACTTTTTTAAAGTGTGGATTTTTATATCAAAATTATGAGTTATGCTGTCTTCAGTAGCATGGCAGAATGTACTGAGGAGAAAGTTGGACAGAGTCAGTTTACATAATAAGCTCTGTGTTATGGTGCATAAAGAGGAATTCCCTAAATATTTAAAAATATTGGTTGCCAGTATGTGCATTGAGGCAGTAGAGTATAGTGAGAATAATAATAGTATATACATATTTAGAGTATTGTTTTAGAGGATTTTATTTTGTATACTTAGAATGGATTTTTTCCCCCTGAACGTTGGACAGACATAAATATAGCACTTGCCCCCCTTTTCTTCTAGTAGATGCTCTTCCCCATCTTATTTTTTCCTAGGTATTTAATTAGATGTGAGAATTTTGTTAATACTGGGACATATTGCCTGGGATGGAGGGGAGCCTAGGAGCAGCATTGCTCCTAATATAATGGAAACAGTGTTGGAAAAAATTCTTCTGTGCAAGTATCTAATAATTTCTAAGAAGTTGGGGCCTAAAGGCAAAGATAGCTGCTTTGGTCTGCTCATAATCTGAGATAACAAAATTCTTACTGTCATTAAGTGAACTTAATCATTAAGCAATTTTAAAAAATCTGTCACCTAGAGAAAACAGGACAAAATTAGATCATTTTTAAGTTTTGAATCGTGAACTTGTTTGTGTTCCCTTTCATTTTGTAAACCTGTGAAAAAGGCCAGATAGACTAAATTTTTGATAAACACTTAAAATTCTGTTTTATGCACTTAACACTGCTGATGACTTATTAACCATTGTACATCATTTGTCAAAAATAATTATGTGAACAGAGACAGCAAAAGACTATTGTAGTATGTACTCCTGGACTTGCAAAATATTTTTATGACCCAGGCACACTTAAAGTTTATTCCTTCTAGTAATAGAGACCTCTTTATTTGGATTGGTAAGAAAATTTTAAAGGGACAGTAGGTAAATTCACCACTTTTTCTCATTGTCAGATCAATACATTTCTATTATAAAACATAAGTGTCCGTTAATGTCCGGAATGATAAGTGGATGAACCTAGTAGTTGGAGTCAACTGTCCTGTTGTAGGACGCCAGACACCTTTTATGTTATCTCTTTGTCTAGCAAACCTAACTTACCTTATCTTCTTAAAATTAATTTGTGTGTTTTTGACAGCAGCTGGACAGAACTCTTAATATTTTATTTCTGTGCAGGTTATGCACTATCTAGGCCAGTATATAACAATGAAGCAGCTTTATGATCCACGGGAGCAGCATATGGTATATTGTGGTGGAGATCTTTTGGGAGAACTTTTAGGATGTCAGAGCTTCTCTGTGAAAGATCCAAGGTAAAAAAAGTAGGATTTATTTTTGGGGGTGCTTATACCTAACTACTTAATCTCCATAAGTTATTAGTGGTTATTTATTCCTTTAGTCAACAAATATTTGCCTATATATGTCAGGTGGCCTATGAGGCACTGAGAATGTAGTAGTGAGCAACAGTCTCTGATTTTATAGAGCTTAATTAAAGTGTAGTGAGACAGGTGCTCTTCTCCATCTTAATAAAATTATCACACTAATATATGGTAAAATTATACTGTGATTAGCAGTTACAGAAAAGAGGTACATGAAGTTGTGTTGGGTGGGGCTTAGGGTCTTAGGGATCAAGGAAAGATTCCTTGAGAAACTATATTTGTGTTGAGAGCTGAAGGATAATTAAAAAGTCAAAAGTCAATTAGAAGGGTCTAGTTGAAGGAGACCTTATGGCCCACAAAGCATCATGGTAAAGGCCTGGATATTAGGGAGCTTGATGTGACTAGGTTAGAATTTTGTGAAACAGTTGTAGACAGAGGAAGAGTGAGATGATGAGAAATGTAGAATTGCTGGGCAGTTTGAGATTGATGATGGACTCTGTTGTGATTTTTATGACCTGTTGTGTGACTTTCTCCAGCTGCATGGGATATTTGGTTACTTATACAATCAATTAGTAATTGAGAAGCAGTGTTCTCTTTCTATAGCTTTGTGATGACTTCTGAGTCATTTTGTCTGTCTTTGGTAAGACTCCCTTCCACCTCCACTCCCTAATTGTAAAACTTAACTCCTAGAAAGAAGGAGTAGTCTGCAAACGAAATCTCCCCACTTGGGTTACTCTTAGCTAAATAAATAAAATGTAAATTAATTAGTTTCTAATGGGGACAAAATAATACAAGTGTTTGGGTACTAACATCTTGGTATTTTAATAATTAAAAAAAATCTGCCTGGCTAGTGTGGCTCAGTTGGTTAGAACCTCCTCCCATGCCATACACCAAAAGGTGGTAGGTTCGATTTCCTGTAAGGAAACATACTTAGGTTGCGTGTTCCAACCCCAGTTGGGGCATGTGTGGAAGGCAACCAATTGATGTTTTTCTCTTTCTCTCTTCCCCTTCATCTCTCTAAAATCAATAAAAAAAAATTCAAAAAAAGATCTATTCTGGGGAAAAAATTCTGTCTCTCCATTTGTTAAAAAGTTAGGAGATATTGTATCAGAAATACACTTAACATTTTAATGGAAAACCATCGGGTGATTGATTTTTTTAAAATTTTATCTCCTTGACAGCCCTCTGTATGCTATGCTAAGAAGGAATCTTGTCGCTTTAACCACTGCTACTGCAGGTATGTCTCATCATATTTTCTCAGTCTGTATGACAACTTTGAGTTCAAGGGGGCAAATGATGGGAAGGGAAAACAAAAAGGATCATGGTGGAGATGGAATGCTGTCTTGGCATGACTGGAAGGGATACCATCACACACACTGTGATTACTATGTTATTTAACTTTTCATTGTGGAAATTTTTCAATATACTAAAGATAGATTGGTATAATTAATGTGTGCGCCTCTTAGACTTAACATTTGTTAACATTTGGCCATATTTGCTTTATGTAGACATACTTTTAAAATTGCTAACAGATTAGGACTTTTTTCCTTTGAACGTAACTACAGTGCCATTATTATACCCAACAAAATAATAATAAACTAAATAACTCCGTAATAGTATCCAATAGCCAGTTTATAATAGTTATCCCCAGTTATCTCAGAAATATCTTTTACATTTGGCTTGTTCAGAGTCCATACTACATTTGGCTGCTAACATTCCTTTTGTTTTTATGTCATTTATTTGGTGAAGAAATGAATCATTTGCCCTATAGCATGTCCTATATTCTAGAGTTTGCAGAGTGTATCCTTGTGATGTTTAACATGTTTCTATCTTCTATTTTTGGTAAATTAGTAGTACTTGAATAGATTCAAGTTTAAATTTTTTGCTGAGAAGGTTTCATAGGTGGTGCTTTTGCGCATCTATTGTATTACATCAGTTATGTAAGGTCTTCATGTCCCTCTTTCAGTGATAAGATTCTGTGGGCTCATGTGGTGTCATCCTGATCCATTTTAAAGGTCCCCCAAGAACCTTTCACCTAACAGTTTTAGGTTAACTTTCTGTTACTTGAAGGCCAATTTTTCTAACCCTTTGCTCGATTTTATACCTTTTAAATATTGTCCTTTGAGTTTAATTTATTAGCTATGTGCAGGAAACTGGCTGCTTTGGGTCTGAAGTGTGGTGTGTTAGAGATAAGTGAATTAATAAACTGGAGACAACTGAAATGTAACCCTGTCCCACTCATTTCCAAATAATGAAACTTTTTTCTTCAAGAAAGCACTTTAGATTGGCTATTTTTGAATAGATTTCTGAAATAAATAGCTTGAACAAATCCATCCCTAATAAAGATTTACACTTTAAAGTGAGAGCAAAGAGACTTTGCTCTCATTGAAGTATGATTTTGAACTTCCATTGAATTTTGAAGCCTGTTGGTTTCATTGAGCCTTTGCCCATTTTACCCAAGTGTAAATTTCTGTGGGAGAGGGAAGGCCTTCTGAATGATGTGGCACTTTATTGAAATTCAGTCACTTGAGAAAATAGTGTGGCTTTTCTGGGATACTCACTATAGGCTTGAAATACACAGAGCATTTTATATTTGCTCCTGTACCTTTCAGTAAAATTTTTCTGATTGATCTTTCTCTGAATATCTAGAGTAGGTATAATTCTCACTTTTTGGCTCTCATTTTCTTTCTTGCACTTCCTTTGCAGAATTTAATATGTCATGTATTATAAATGAACATTTCTATAGCAAACATTTCAGTTGATTCTCACAACAACCCTGTGGGGAAGGTCTGGAGATGAAGAAACTGTAGAATGAGTGATTAGTCCAAGATCAAGTGGCACTTCGTCAAGTGCCACTGATGAAGTGGTACAGGAGATATATCTGCTTGGCCAGCCCTTGGGTTTTTTTCCATTGTGCCACACATTCCTGTCTCCTTAACCCTTGCTTGTAACAGAACTTGCTCCAATTGATTTTTAATTTTTTTTTTTAAACACATCTTCATTGATTTCAGAGAGAGGACAGGAGAGGGAGAGAGAGAGATAGAAACATCAATGATGAGAAAGTCATTGATCGGCTCCCTCCTGTACGACCCCAACCGGGGATCGAGCCCGCAACCCGGGCATGTGTCCTCACCGGGAATCGAACCCTGATTGCCTGGATCCCAGGTCGACACTCAACCACTGAGCCATTCCCGGCCGGCTCCAATTGATTTTTTAAACACATTTTTTTCTCTGAGCATTAAATCTTAAGAACTTTTTATTTTTCAGCTTGTCATTTTGAAATAATTCCACCTACAAAAAAGTCACAGAAGTATTATAGAGTTCCTTATACTCTTTACCCAGCCCTTACATAACCAGAGTAGAAATAACTTTGCTCTGATTTGCACTTGGATTAGTGCCTGTGGTTGATCTTTGTTAAATGGGTTGCCTGTGCTGTTGTATTTGAAAGGACAAATGAGACAAGTGCTTTCCATATCACCTATTTTACGCCTTTGCAAATGAGCTAAACCTTTTATTTTGATGGCTGAAGAAAATATTATTTAAAGTGCGGGTGGTTCTTTATAAACCATTTCTCCAAATTTCCACATGCATCCTAATAAAATGAAATATCTATGACAAACTTTGTATTTAGGAATTTCTTTGTACATTGCAGTTTTCTCAGATAACATTTTTTTGCTCCTAATTGTTGTAACCTAAAAATAAGGTAGCAGACTTTAGAATATAAATGACAGTAATCAAATGATAATAAATGCTTCATCTGCGTTAAAGACCACTGTGGTCAGAAAATGCTGTCTCCTAAACTCCTCAGTATCTCTTTATATCTATAACCGTGCTTCTAGAAATAATGCTGTCTATAATTACAATTTTGAAGATGTTTGTTTTGTGCATAACAGCTGAATTGCGAGACCAGTTATAGGATCTGTATTCTCTGCCAGTCTATTAGATGAGGATATTTTCCATAAGATCTCTGGCCCCGGTAGTAACCGATGAACCCAATCCATGATACTTACTTATAAGCATCTGTTAGGTATGGCCTCTGGGTGGTCCAGATTATTAAATTCTCTGAGGCTAAGTTTTCACCTCATGTTCTACTTGAAAATTTCCAAGTCCTTGAAATACATTTCTTTCAGACTGTCTAAGAATTTCTCTCAGGCCATTGTTTCCTTTCTTCTTTTTATTGATCTTGAGAAAAACTTGCTCTACTTCCTTGTCCTTCTTAGGAAATATTTATAGTAACTGAGAAAAATAAGACTTGGTGGTTAAAAAAACCTAATCTCTATTTAGGTGTTTGGGAATTTAAACTGAAATCATTGACATTTGGAATGTAAGTTTATAAGAAGATGCTATTGTGTTATGAAGCAAGTGAGAAATTCCAGATTTTCAGATTTCATAACCCTTTATAACTTTTTAACATTTAAAATAAAAATTAAATTAGAAAGCCAAACCATTTTTTGTTGTTGTTTACAAGTTAGGCAAATTTGGTAATAAAGTACATATAAGAAGAGATGGTAAAAATATGCACCATATTTCCTCTTGAAATCACTTTTCATATTAAAATTTGAAAGCTTGCTATGGAAGAACATTTTTTGGTTATTTTTCATTTTCCCCCAGATTATATTTTGATAATATATTTTGAATATAGCCTGTTTTGGTTTTTGCGGTTTTTACCAGTTTTGATTTTTCTGTTCCTTTTGGATGAGAGCCTTGTTAAACCAACATGGAGAAGTACATCTCTAGGGACCAAACCTGGCTCCAGAGTTGTTTGCTGAGGTCCTTTTTGTGTGGAAAGAATGGTTATTACCAGGGAAGGTGTTCCTTTTGTTTTACTTGCTATCCAGATGCTGCTCAGACTCTCGCTATCGCACAGGATCAAAATCTGGATATTCCAAGTCAAGACCAACTGAAGGTAAAATCACCACATGGTGACTTCTTTTGTTGTACAGAGTGGCCCCTTCTCTGTACCTATGGATCTTGACCTCCCAAGACCTTTTGCTGAATGTAGAAAGAATTTAATAAGAAAGGCTCTTGGGAGTTCACAGACCAGGGACAGAGTGAAAATTCTCTGTTCTGTCTATAACAGAGTTCCAGGCTCTGAATCTGTCCTTGGGATGTAGCACTTCTGATCTTCAGTTCTTCCAGTTGCATTTTCTTTGTGTGTGCACCTGTGTGTGTGTGATGGTGTATATTCATAGGTGTTTGAGGTAACTGCTTTTATTAGATTTTAACAGGCTCGTTGCAATTAAGTTCATGTCAGGCCATTTCTTAAAGCTTCCCCAAACCTGGGAAAACCTCATGATCATCTTGGTATATGGTGAGGATGTCACATGTTTTCTGAATTATGCCTAATTTTGTAGTAGGCTAAAGGATTTATATTGATAGCCTATTTTTAACTGTACACTTTGGTCTTTTGTGCAGAGATTTACACCCTGCTCCCCCCAGGTTTGGGATTCTCTTAGCTCTGCTCACAGTGGGTTGAGATGTTGCTTTTATTTGATGACTGTGGTGAACGCGAGTTCTCTTTCTTGTGTGTAGCCCATTGTGTCACACACTAACTGGTGAGCCAGAATGGAACTGCTGCATCCCCTGGTCTCAATCATTACTACTCCACTGATAGACACCTTTCCCTTCCTTTCAGCCAAGTGCAGAGGAAAGTCCCAGTCCCAGGAAAAGTACTGAAGAAGGCAATATTTCCACACTGCCTACCTCACGGCACAAACGCACAAATTCTAGAGAAGGTAAGTTCTGGGTTAAGGTTATGTAGACTTTTCTTTGTTGTTGATGATTTCTGGGAATGACATCTATCCAAGTTAAACACTAGCTGTAATTAATATTGTTATATAGAGAAATAAAATAATAATAATGCTATCTCTTCCATGTGAAATAGGAGGGGCATATGTCATACTTATTTCTCATTCTTTTCTGAAAATCTTTTTTTAAATTTTAAAAATATATCTTTATTGATTTCAGAGAGAGGAAGGAAGAAGGAGAGAGAGAGAGAGAAACATCAATGATGAGAGAGTCATCACTGATCGGCTGCCTCCTGCACACCCCTGACTGGGGATCGAGCATGCATCCTGGCATGTGCCCTGACCAGGAATTGAACCATGATCTCCTGGATCCTAGGTCGACACTCAATCACTGAGCCATGCCCGGCTGGGCCTGAAAATCTTTAAAAAAAATCCTTGTCACTATTGTTAACTTTGAAGAAGGTGGTAGCAACCCATCTTTTAGCAACCCATGATTACTGGGATATGGGGCAAGACTTCCTTTAGCTAGTAAGCTAATGGAAGATGGCTGTGCATTTATCACTTTGCCACCTGGTAACTTAGCTGCCTTGGTCTTTTCAATCTTGGTACCCCTGTACATACTTGATTTTGTTAGAATTTTTATTTTGATATGTTTGCTTGATGCAAATTTTCATAGATTTTTGAAGTTTGCAAAAATGATAAAGTATGCTTAGTATTTCAGAGCCAAGAATGAGACATAAGCCTAGTAGTTCCTTTGCCCTTGAGTGGTAATTACCAGATCTTTGCCATCCATACTAGATATGGTATGGTATGGTTAAGTTAAATGAGTTAATTGATATTTTGGAAGTTTCCTCAAGCCCTACATTATAAAATACCTCCTAAATATTTTTTCTGCAAAAATGTATAAGATAAATTCCTCAAAGATATTTTATGGCATGATGGTTTCTAGTCTAGGCTCACATTTGGAGCAGTGGCAGGAAAGTTATGTTGTTAAAATTGTTCTAAATGTTTAAAGTCAAAGCAGTTTTTCATGTTGGATTGCTTTCCTCAAATTTCATTTGAATGTAAGCTGATTATTGGGCTACCTAATTACCTTGGAGCTTATTCCAGTCTTATGGCTCTGATGTATAATTTTGTTCCTTTAAATGCATGTTTTTGCTTATTTTCTACTTAGAAGGCTGTTTAAAGCATAAGAACAGCCAATTCAAGAGACTATATGTAGTTTATGATGTAAATGTTGAGGAAGCTTAGTAATTTTAGGAAGATGTATAGGAAGAGGAGACAAAATTTTTATATTTGGAAAGAATGGCCTGTTTCCACTCCCTGCATGAGAAGTTACAGAGCCTGACTAGGTGGAGAAAACTTAATATTTGTCTTAGGCGTTTGATTTCTGATAACTTCAGCAAGGAGTAAGTAAGAAGGTAGTTGAAGTTTCCCTGAGCACAGATACATCTTTTAATAGGATCAACGTAATTTGTAAGTAGGTAGGATAAACTTTTGTTCTAGCAAGGACTCATTATTGCAGACATTTTTAAACTATATGTATGTACCTCAGCACATTTAAAAGCCGTGGTTGCCATTGGTGTGTCTAGTGCATTGGGAGAAGAGGTAGAGGAGAAAGAAGGTAGGAAAAGGGTGAAGCGCAACAAAGAAGATTGCGTGATGGCAAAGAAAGAAAGGAGTTTCATGTGGTAGCGACAAATGTGGGTTAGTAACTGCCGTGAGTGTCATTTAGATGTAGGATATAGGATCTTTTCCTTGAAATATGTGGGGCCTTAATGTGTTTTGGATTTGCAGTATTTTTAGATTTAGATATTTTAACTCTGAAATAGCCCATTGATCCAGGAGGGACATACGTATATATTTATTTGGACAACCTAGAGTTTAGTATTTTATAGCGGTTATTACTAATTGAGAAATGTCCCACAATATGTGATACCAGTGAGACTACCTTGACAACCTGGCATTTGCCTGTGTTATGTTCTGTACCAACTCCTGTCTCAAGGGTTTGGCCACTGTGCTGTCACCATTAGCAGTCCAGTGGATCAAGCCATTATCAGATACCACGCACTAACGCAAGATATTCTTTAGTTTATTACAGTGGTAGGAACGTTTAAAATGCCAGTAAATGTCATTGTTTGGATGGTTTCAGAGTTTAGATTTCTTGATCAATGATTATCTACTTCTAGTGCCATTATTGCTAATAAAGTCTAAACAGAGTAGATTTGGGCTCTGCAACTGAGATGGGTATTTGGTTTCTGATTGTTCCTACTGGGATTAAGAATTACATTTTACTTACCTTATAAGGTGATTGTAAGTATTATAAAGAGCTGATTCTTAAGGTTTGTGGACATAGTTATCATGCTTTTCATTTGACTTCTATAGATGAAGACTTGATAGAAAATTTAAGCCAAGATGAGACATCTAGGCTGGACCTCGGGCTTGAGGAGTGGGATGTAGCGGGCCTGCCTTGGTGGTTTTTAGGAAATTTGAGAAAAAATTACACACCTAGAAGTAATGGCTCAACTGATTTACAGACAAATCAGGTAAATTTCATGTTTGAAGAGGAACTTCCTTTTTTTTCTTTTGAAAAGAGTAACATTCTTGGTTACACTTGACCACACATTACATTCTCTAAGAATTCTCATACAGCGTTGTGACTTATGCCATCTCTATGCAGATGGTGCCCAAATCTATATTGTTAGCCTTGACCTTTACCCTAAATGCCCAACTTCCATATCCAGCTGTCTACTCAACACCTCTACTTAGATGATCTGACATTTAACATGTTCAAAACAGAATTTTTTTAACCAAACACTCCTATCCAGTCTGTCCTTTTTCATAAGCCTACCTTCTACCGTTATTCCAGCCGGAATATCAAGGGGTATGGTTGATTTCTTTCAATTGATGGTCATATGTCACATTCAGGTTAGCTAGTACACCCAAACTCTAACCAACCACTTTTTATTGCTTCTACTGTCATACCCTAATTTAAGCCATCATCATTCTGCTCCTTTATCTTACTTTATATTCCCCATTGCACTTCTCACTTTGTAAAATGATTATTTTATTGTGTTTACGTATGCATTGGCTGTTTATCCCCACTGAAATGTAAGTCCAGGGCTTTTCTATTATTAACGACTCTATATTCTATTGCCTAATACCTAAAATAGCATCTGACACATAATAGTAGTTCAATGAGTATTTCTTCAGTAAATGAATGGACATATGGCAAAATAGTAAGTTGTCTCTTAGTAAAATAGCAAAGTAGTAAGTTGTAGAAAAGCATGTCATAAATGTCCATAGTTGAATGCAGAAAGAAAGTTATATTTAAAGTTGTTTAAGAATGCAGAGAGAAGATTTGAGTTACCCTCAGTATTTCTCATATTTCTTCAATAAACAATTATTAAAGGAATATCTCACAATTAGTAGAATGTTTTCTAGGTTCTCAGTGCCACTTGTGGAAAGGAATGTAGAGAATGGATTCTATTTACTTGAGCAACTATGAGTCTAGCTTTTAAGCTTTTCAGTGCTGTTTCTCAGATATTATACTTGATTTACTATTAAAATAAAAAATTCCGACTATTCCTAGCTTTAATAAACATACTCTCAAAATTAAAAACAAAAACAAAATCCCTTACCAGGCACCAGTACATCCATTAGCTTTTATTTACATAGTAGGTGCCAAGTAGGTATTTGTTGAATGAATAGGTATCCATTGGAGAAAGGCTAGGTGTTTGGGGATATGTGAGGACATTGAGTTTTGGGTTAATTTATGTTGGTTCAACATCTCTGATAAGCCTGACTATAAAAACTCATTATTTGTTTTTTTCTGTCAGGACATAGGTACTGCCATTGTTTCAGATACGACAGATGATGTGTGGTTTTTGAATGAGGGAGTGTCAGAGCAGTTTGGTGTTGGAATGAAAGTTGAAGCTGCTGATACTGAACAAACAAGTGAAGAAGTAGGGAAAGTGAGAGACAAAATGGTACGTTGTGGAAATATTTCGCATTGGTTGTAATTAAGTGTGTTGTATAATCTACTCAGATCTGGTGATGTGACCTATACTATACCACTTGAATTCACATAATCCACCCTACCTCTCTTTTCCTTAATATTTTTCTATATCTAATTTTAAGATTCACACTCAGTAAACCAAGGCTGCCTTAAAAATAGGCTAGGATGCCATGGGTTAAGTTCCTTCTTTGTTAGAGGCAATAATATACCCTTTTTCTGCTTGCCTAGTTTCTCATTGTGAGTTTTTTTCTTCTGGAGACCTTGTGTTGCTAACAATGCAAAGTTCTAAATGGCCACAGCAGCCTGTAGAGGGAAAAAAACCTTATTTCTTAGACATCTCAATAGCTTTCATAACCATTTTATACCCAAATGGAAGTAGACAGATGAGTTTTTCCTACGTATTAGAGATTTTTAAATAGGGTGAACGAGGGAGTTAGAATTCTGAGTACACATGATGTGAATATACCAAGATGAAAAGTCATCCAAGCATGTGTTTGATTCTCAAAATAACTGGGCAGCAGATTCCAGTGCCTGACATGGTCAAGAATCTCAGTAAATATCCACTGAATAAATAGAGCAAAAAACAGGCCTAAATTGGATCATTCTTATAATTAAGGGATTTTCATAGTAATTTGGGTTCCTGAAGGGGATATCCTATATGTTTGTGATAGGCAAATAGATGCTTGTGTTTTCTTAGACTAGTTACATGGGTAGCATTAGAAGGGAATGCAAGAGACTAGAATGAAGAGGCTAGAATGACATTTGGAAAGTTCTATAGAGAGATGGGACTTAAAATACCTAAAACTTTTGTAAGAAAGTTGCTATACAGAGGGTCATAATTGTATTATAACTGGTTTGTTCCATTTGCTGTGTCATAAAACTAGGGTTTTAATTTTTAGAATTTTAAATTCTAAATTTTATAATTTAGAAGACACTTCCCACATTTTTTTTTGTTTCCTGGTCTGTAGGCATGTTTTTATAGGACAGCCAGAGTATCACATAACTATTTGTACATTTGAATATGAAGAATAAAATTTTAAAATACTTTGTTTTCATTTTTCACATCTAAGTGCCTTGTTTTATACACTGCTTTTACAATGCCTACCTAGATTCCTAAGATAAATTTCCACATTTAATAATTTGTAGCTGTTCTACTCTAATACTGTTTTGTTTTTTTAATCCTCACTCAAGGATATTTTTTCCATTGCTTTTCAGAGAAAGTGGAAGGGAGGGAGAGAGAGAGAAACATCAATGTGAGAGAGACACGTCCATTGGCTGCTTCCTGCACTTGTCCTGCCCAGGGCCAGGGATTGAGCCTGCAACAGAGGGACATGCCCTTGGCCAGAATCAAACCCGGGACCCTTCAGTCCCTGGGCTGATGCTCTAACCACTGAGCAAAACCGGCCAGGGCTAATATTGTGTCTTAAAAAGATTTTTAGCGAGAGAGGAAGAGAGAGGGGGAGAGAGAGAGAAACGTCGATATGAGAGCAACATTGATGGGCTGCCTCCTGCACACCCCCTACAGGGGATTGAGTCTGCAACCCAGGCATGCGCCCTGACTGGGAATTGAACCAGCAACCTTTCAGTGCACAAAATGATGCCCAACCAACTGAGCCACACTGGCCAGGTCTTTTTTTCTTCTTAAATCATAAATTTGGGCACCCTCTCCCTTCTGAATGCAGAAGATATTTGGTGACCCTCTGGGTGCTAGGTGTGTACAGAATCGTTTTTGGTCTCATTTAAGCTATCTCCTTTTAAAGCGGTAATGATGGAGACAGAATGTGAGCTTTAAATGGAAGCTCTTTCATCTTTTCTGCTCTCAGGTAATAACCTCATGTGAGATAGGTAAATCTTACTAATGAGATATCTTTGCCGTCACAGGTGATTGAAGTGGGAAAAAATGATGACCTTGAGGACTCTAAGTCCATATGTGATGATACTGACGTAGAGGTTGCCTCTGAGGTACGACTCTAGTAAAGAGCTGTTTGCACCACTCATGTCTTCAGATGGTAACGTTCCAGCAGTTCACAGTGAAGAATGCCATTTCCCCCCCCTTTTTATCTACTTTTCTTGGGTGTTAAAAGATTTTGGTTTCTTTACATTTTGTTAGAAGTTTTTATTGGAATTTGAGAAGAGAAGATGAGTTGATTTAATCTTCCTACCTTGAAAAGGGATGACTTAATGCCTCTCAGTGTGCCTTTCTCCCTGCTGTAAAGACTGGACACCATGCCTTGAGTACAGTTAGTCAGAGTAGCTCTGCATTGCTTTTCCCACTAACCCCTCTGTAATGCCAAAGATGGACTTACAAGCTATCTAAAATTCTTTGTCAGGTATAAAAATTATATTTTCAATGTTTTCTTAAAAAATGGAAAATGGCTTAATTTCCACACAGATTTATATCAATGGAGGGCTAGTAAGTGAAGATTTAGTATTAAGCTTTTAGGTAACAGGTTTGGATTTGTCATCAATTGACAAGGTTTAGACTCAAATGTGTTCCTTGTTTTTTTCTTTTCATGCTAGCTCTCCACTTTCCTTTTAATACTCCCCTCAGCTAACTCACTGGAAAAAGAGGGTGCTGAGGGAAGGATAAGGGGGTTGATTTTACTTTTTGCTGCTTGGGGATGAAAAATTTTAGGTTGTCTCTGTGTTGATCCCTCTCCCACCCCACTACTATTGACTGTTACAGTAATTCATTGCAAACTATCTGTGCATAGCTAAGTAATAAAGTGGAATATATTGATCCATTAAGTGTTCTTGACCATAATACAAATAGCAGAGTTAAATATTTCCGTCTTCATCAGACTTCTGTGGCTACTTGGGCCCAGAAAACCTATTAGGCAAATAGACTGTATTTTATCAAGTCAAAGATGCTATTAACTTTAACAAGCCCAATTACTTTATGTATTAATAACTTATAAAGAAAAGTTGATGCCAATTACACCATGACACCATCAGTTATGGGTTCCAGATCTTTATGAATTTCCTTTGTGAGTGTTTGTGTAGTATTCATGTGAGATCTGAGGATCTTTACCCAGCACAAGAATGTTTGTTTTTTTTTTAAAAAAATATATCTTTATTGATTTCAGAGAGAGGAAAGGAGAGGGAGAGAGAGAGATAGAAACATCAATGATGAGAGAGTCATTGATCGGCTGTAGCCCGCAACCCGGGCATGTGCCCTGACCAGGAATCGAACCCTGATCGCCTGGATCCTAGGTCGATGCTTAACCGCTGAGCCATGCCCAGCCAGGCAAGAATGTTTTGAGGCTCTCTGGAGAACATCCCAGTTTAACGAATGGTCATGTTCCTGCCTCTTGGTCTAGGCAATTGAGTTATGACTTCTAAACTTGAAGTGCTTGATCTCTATTCTGAAAGCAAGAAAATCAGCCTGTGTCACACTGATCCTATCAAAGCCAGGCAATTATCCACATTAAATGCTCTGGACTTGTTCCAGGTAGGTGCCTTTGAATTAAGCAAGGCATGTAAAATTTATTGAGCTGTAGTATCTCCTGATTTGAATATGGAAAAGTAGGAAAAAATTTACTTGGCATTCAAGGACAAGAACATTCATTTTTCAGAGGGTGTGATTTAGGCGTACAACTAGCTACCTATGATCCTGAGAGCAGTGAGAAAGCATGAATAAATTTAGAAGTTTTTAAATCTCATGATTGTAGTTTTTTTGTGTGTGCCAGATTTTATAACATTTCTTAAATAGTAGGAAAGAATAACAGAGTAGTATCTCTTCATTCTTTAGCCACTGAATTTGAGAGGGAGTTGTGAAAAGGGAAATGACCTAAAAAGAAGGCAGTGGGGAAAAGCAAACAATGTAAATTCCACTCAGACTAGAAAACCAAAATAATTAACTTTTTAAAAGATTGCTATATCACATTTTGGCTTGAATGGGCAATTGTGTCACTATCAAAGTGGCTGTACAACTTATTTTAATTCTAGGCTAGGTCTTTGGGGTGGACTGTCTGGGCTCTCACTGGTGAGATGATGAGAATTTGGCCTACCCTCCCCTTTTCTTAGCATCGTGTTCTCCACTGAGTGAGTATTAATTGGCTGCACTTACCTTTGTAGGATGAGTGGCAGTGTACTGAGTGCAAGAAATTTAACTCTCCAAGCAAGAGGTACTGCTTTCGGTGCTGGGCCTTGAGGAAGGATTGGTATTCAGATTGTTCTAAGTTAACCCATTCTCTCTCCACGTCTGATATCACTGCCATACCTGAAGAGAAGGAAAAAGAAGGAATTGATATCCCTGACTGCCGAAGAACCATATCAGCTCCAGTTGTTATACCTAAAGATGTATATAGAAAAGAAGAAAACCCCAAACTCTTTGATCCATGCAACTCGGTGGAATTCTTGGATTTGGCTCACAGTTCTGAAAGTCAAGAGACCATGTCAAGCGTGGGAGGACAATCAGCTGGCCTTTTTAAACAGAGAGCAGTTACAGGAAATGGGGAGGATTGCCGGAATCTTTTGAAGCCATGTAGTCTATGTGAGAAGAGACCACGAGATGGGAACATCATTCATGGAAGGACGAGCCATCTTGTTGCTTGTTTTCACTGTGCCAGAAGATTAAAGAAGGCTGGGGCTTCATGCCCTATTTGCAAGAAGGAGATTCAGTTGGTTATAAGGGTTTTTATAGCATAGCTGTGAATCAGTGAATTAGAGAAATAATAAGAGGGCCAGGGCACATATTCAGAATGTCAGTAGTGAGCATCTCCACTCATTGTGACCCATTATTTATTCATATAAGCATTGTAATTCAGGACAAATGAGTTCTTTAGAACTAGATCATTAATTTGGGGACTCGAATTAATGTGAAAAGATTTATTAGTCACTTCATTCTACCTTCAGAGATGAGGATCTGGGCCGTGGCCAGTGTCACTCAGTTGCTTGGAGCTTTGGGACACATACCCAGTTTTCGGATTTAATCCCCATTTGGGGCACATACAGGAAACTGATCCTTGTTTCGCCCTCACATCCATGTTTCTCTCTCTCCCTCTTTCTCTCTCTCTAATAAAAAAAGTCCTTGGGTGAGGGGAAAAAAAATGACCTGGGAGGGAGCAGCTGCCAGTGCAGACAAAAGTATGTTCGCTCGTTTATTTACTAAATGACTTGAAGATTAACCTTTCTTTAGTTTATTTTTTACTCTTATTTTTTGTTAGGGCATGTTTAGTCACAGTTGACATTCAATATGTGTATATTTTATATATATATATTTTAAATATCTTTTATTGATTTCAGAGAGAGGAAGGGAGAGGGAGAGAGAGAGAGAAACATCAGTGATGAGAGCCGTCACTGATTGGCTGCCTCCGCATGACCCCGACTGGGGATCAAGCCTGCAACCCGGGCACGTCATGCCCTGACCAGGAATCGAACTGCGATCGCCTGGATCCTAGGTGGATGCTCAGCCTCTGAGCCACACCCTGCTGGGCGACATTCAATGTTATATTAGCTTCAGGTGTACACCATAGTGGTTAGATATATAATTTTTGAAGTGATCCATTCTCCCTCATAAGCCTAGTACCTGCCTAACGCTGTTCATACTAAATAACAGTATTATTGACTGTATTCCTTATGTTGTACTTTGCATCCTGTTAGGGAATGTTCTTAGGCATCCTCACCCAGGTGGCTATTAGAAACATAGTAAAGCTGACAGTGAAAAAAACAATTCAATTAGTTAAGTTACGTAGTGCTGTAGATCACTTTATGTTCACAGTCAGGCTTCATGATTCAGAGCAACCAAAAGAAAAGTCTTAAGAAACAGATTTCTTCCATGTGTGCCTAGAATAATGCTGTCAAACAGTTTTTGCTAGCAGACTCCTAAAATAAGTTTGAAAGTGTATATATAATCTTTTGCACATTTTAAAAATTAGGGTATAATTAGCGAACAGTAGTATTCCCTTCTGTGGACATCTGAGTGGATATCTGTGGACAACTACCCAAAATGAGCTCTAGAATAACATTTCTGTTACCTCAGAATATTCCCTTGGGCCTCTTTCCAGGCAGCCCCTCTACCAGTTCATGATTCTCACCCTAGATTAGTTTGCCTTTCTGCATACGCTTAATGGGACATCTAAATTTTAAGAATAAATTTCAGTACTAACAGAGGGTGTACTGTACCCAGTATGTTCTATATGTGCTTTAGAGATTTTTATCAAAGCCTTGGAGCAGCAGGTTTAGCTGATTGAATTTGTAGAAAATGTTCTGTCATATAAACGGGCAAAGCCTGTTCTCATAAAGTTAATCAGCCAAATCAGATTTAATGTTCAGTCAAAAAATGTTGGACTGTTTTTAATTCAAAAAACGTTTCTGGCACAACCTTCTCAATTACAGTTCTAAGATAGAAAAATAAGGCTAGAATTTTTATACCTACACAGCTCTCTTTGCTTTACTCTATCCTCTTTTGAGAGTTCTCTGAGATTTTTCTGGTTTTTGGCATTGTGAGGCAATGCCCCATAGTAAGATTCTATATGGGTGAGAGGCAGTCTTTTGAAAATGGAGTATGGCAGTTGTGAAAAGGAAAGTAATTAAAGAGAAGTGTTTGACCTGAACAGTCTTTATCTGAGGACGTAAATCTTTGGACAATACATATGGTAACTAAGGATCTTTAGATTTCCTTATAGATATCCCTATCTGCTTTTCCCACGGAAAAAATCTTGGTCTATGCCCAGGAGTAGCAGTATGTCAGTTTGAAGAGAAAGGCCCTATAATTATCAAATGTAAGAATCTTAAGAATCGGCTACATTATTTGTTTTAAGAGGTCAGCTTACACAAACACCCCAGTCCCTATCCCCTTCCTCAGAACACAAACATACGCACTGACCCTGAGGTCTGGGCCAGGGATTTCCATTTGAACAGGTGCTCCTGAAAGCCGATGCCAGTGGGCCACAAACCACACTTTTGGAAGCCTTGCCCTTAAAGATTTTCTAGGTATAGGAAGTAGAGTAGATTCCCTTATTTAGCATTATATTTAATTTCTAACGGCATAAATTTTGTTAAAGAATTTTAAACCTAGGGCACACTCAACCCCTTTTTTTGCACTTGAGGCTAAAGGTCAAACGACTTCTGAAAGTCACAGAGCTAGTATTAGAATCCAACCAAACTATAAATCATACTTGTTTCTCATTATTTGTTAAATATTTAAATGATGGTGCTTTGTTGAATTTGGAACAACCAATGACCTTAAAATACTGGAGACTATGGCTTGGCAGCCAGAATTGGGCTTTAGAGAGAAGAGTGGTTTTTAACACCTTTTCCCAAAAGAGAGGAGGCCAGTAAATGTCAGGCTTTCTTACATAATCATTAGTCCTCCCGATGGGAGGGCAAGTAAAGGTGGCAGAGGAACCTGAAGCATTTCCTCCAGTATTGCTCCTTCTCCATGATGCTGCTCAGAGATCTGCCTTTCCACTAGGGACGGGGTTTCCCCCCAGTAAATGAGTGTAAGATTTTGTTGGGCTATGGTAAATGTTCTAAATCTTCAGAAAGTTAAATTACTTTCTTGCCTATTTCTACCCCATTACTCTTTTCATACCAGTTTGAAAGTCTCAATTTTATTTTTCCCAGGCAGGTGTTTTCGCAGGTGATAAGAGAGGCAGGCAGGGTTGGAGACCTGCACTAGAACCCTGTGACTCTCCTTATGTAAAGTTGCAATTTTTTAGAAAACTTAAAAAAAAACCTTAAAATTTTATTTGTGCTTATCGATAGTTGATGCTAATTTTGGTACATCCTTGCACAGAATCCTCAGGCTATTTAGTTTTCCTCCTTTTGCCTTTGTTCACCCGAGTTTTTCACTGTTCCAATTAGTACTAAGTACTTTGAAGATCCTTGAGCCGTGTGTGAGCTGAAAAGAGAATAAACCTACACTTGGGTTTACTGTACCAGGCTTACTGTACCTCTGTGGAGCCCTTTGAATTACTGAAAAGGCGACAGAGAAGTGTATCTGCAGAAAGAGGTAGACCATATTTTTTGGTGCCTTATCTGAAATCCAAGATCCTGCTTCTGCAAATGTTTTTTTCCTTCATCTAGGATCCTTAGTCAGTGTCTTCTGGGAGTATAGCATAGGAAGTAGAATTCCGGATTTCTTGAGGGTAGAATGGTTAGGGATCCTTAAAAGGGCTGAATAGTGCTGTCGGAGCCATTCTTCGTGTGCAGAAGCTTTGGACCATCTTGATCTCCTTTAGATTTTGTTCTTTTCTCAGTGCCACTCCGGTACAGATACATTTTACTCACTGCCACTAATGCAAGGCATTCGTATTTGAAATATTCATAATTCCAAACACTACCATTTATCTTTTAGTTGTACTGAGCGTGTTCACGTGCCCTGGCATGTTGGAAACAGTAGCGGTTTACTCCTGTTTTTCAGCATCTTCTCTGGTTTGTCTTTGTCTCCCCCTTTCACTCTCATATCTTCATTGGGATGTTAAATTATATGGTCTCTGTAGTAGGCCTTGCTTGAGTGAAATCCTGATTGAGAGGAAAGGGTCTGTTTAAGTGTCAGTGGAGTTCATTGTTTCTGTTGTATCACGCCAGACACTTGTGATTTATGAAATCATCCGACGTTAGCATCGCATTTCTTGTTTTTGTTATTTAAGTTAATATTTATGATCATGTTGTCCTGGACAAAAAGTTCAGAGCATCAATGATGAAGCGTTACAAAAACAAATTTCTGGATTATAGTTAAATATGTCTACTGTCCTTTCATATTAGCTCATTATACTTGCACTGTACTGATATTTGGTATGCTTCTGTATTTGATACTTAAGTCAGACTTTATAAGAACATTATACCACGCCTCTAAACTGATATAACCATTTCTCCACAGTTCGTCCCTGGAGTATCATTGATTCCCAATCCTAGGCTTGAATAATGGACCGATATCCAACCGTGCTAGCTAGCCTCTAACCTGCCATGAACTTCTCTCATGCAAAACAGAATCACTGCCAAGCATTTGAAATATGCATTTGTGTTTTAATAATTTATATATGTTTAGATGTATATAATGCTTTGTAAAACATTATTTTGTTTGTAAGAATTTATTTTTAAAGGTCATGATCATTTGTAGCTTTTTAAATGCCGATTCAATGCACTGTTGCTTCCTTTGGAAAGTCATTAATAAGAACTTGGTAAATGATAGGTCTTGAGTTCTATAATGCTATTATAGTGTTACCTCTTGGCTCTCTTTAGAAAGGAGGAAACTTGTTAACCAGCTATTTGATTTTTATTCTACAGAGAGTTATGTGAACTGAAAGAATATGGCTTTAGATACTGTGAATCTTGTTTTCTGTTTAGTCAAATATCTGCTTAAATTGTTCAGTCCCATGTCCTAACGAACTCATATTGATGGTTCTCCCATTCATGGGTGTACATGTGTGCACACACAATGTCAAGACTGATAATACTTTTGCTAAAAAGTGGCTATAGATTAGAAATTAGCTGTGTTTAAAATCTGCACTTCAGAGGTCAAGGAAGCTGCATGCTCTTTCCTGTGCCAAAAGTAAAAAGTACACTGTTTACAAATGTCTGGAATTTTGCACTGCCGTAGGGTGTGTGGAGGTTACTTTGCTGGAATTTCCCAGATTTGTAATTAGTGGAGTTGTGGTTTAGCAAATGAGGAGAAATATTCAGGACCCTAAATTGGAAATGAGTACCTGGCAGAGTGGTTCAGATGCCTCCCCATACCTAATTTGGGGACAGTTTTTCCAGATTGCGTTGACATGTCCTTCTTGTTGACAGCTTTCATTGTTTGTCAGTGCTATATTCTTGTATAGGAGCCACCAGATCTTTTCCTTCTGTGGGAGAATGTCCCGTAAGCATTTTAAGATCTTTTGATGCAATGAACATGCAGTCCCAACTAATACTGTTCTTGGTGAATGTGGCATTGTTAAAGAAAATGTAATAAATCTATACTTGGATTTACTGTACCTCTATCAAGAGCTTTTTGAATGACTGAAAATGTTACAGAGAAAGAGTCGTATCTCAGAAAAGATAGTATTTCTTGGTAGCTTATCTGAAATCCCAGGTGCTACTTCTGCAGATAGTTTTCCTTCCTCCAGAGTCCTCTGGGAGGATAGCACAGGAAGTAGAATTCCTCATTTCTTGGGGGTAGAATGTGGCAGGGATCATAAAAAGGGCCAAATAGTGCTATCTATCAGCAGTTCCTTTCTTAGAACAGTGGTTGGAATTTGGCAAATGCTTTATTGAA